ACACACACACACACACACACACACACACATATGAAACAAGTGCCAGAATTCACATTCCTTGGAAGCATAATGTTCATAGCAGACGGAAAAATGGACAGAGAAATTGAAATAGAGTATTAATTAAGGGCAACGGTCACATATCACCTAGCACCCACCCTCTCCCATGAAAATATCCCAATGGAGACAAAGAATGAACTAATCAGATCAATCTTTATACCAACCCTCTGCTACCAGTGCCCAACCTGGGCCCTCAACATAACGTAGCATAAATACATAGAATATCAGCACGTGAAATGCTTTACTAGTACATGTGACTAGCTTAGTTTTATCAAGACTCGATTATTGAAACTCCTTGTTATCAGGGATATCGCTGGAGAAATTTAAAAGACTTCAAATTGTCCAAAACATTGCTGCACGTTAAGTTTTACGGAAAAGAAAGCTAGACTCTGCTTCACCTCTTTTACGAACTTTGCATAGGCTCCTGTTGAGAAAAGAATTGTGTACAAGAAGTTGACCACCCTATGTCACAAATGCTTGAATGATAATGCGCCATCATAATTATTTGTCAAATCTGTTGATACTGTACATTCCAACTCGCAGTTTAAGATCATAAGATGACAAAAAGAAATTTCTTTTTCCATGTATGAAACTTAAAATGGGTGAGAGGGCATTTTGAATTCAAGGCCCAAGATCTGGAATACTTTGTCAATATTTTAAGAGAGATCAAATCTTTTGATCCATTCAAATGTCAGCCGAAGTCATAATTTCTGTTTTTAAATTAATGAGATGAACATTTGGAGTTTGGAATGATTTTCTTTTAGTCAGAACACAACGTTTTATGTTTGGCCTACTGTTGTACATTGTATCGAATTATAAAGCGCCCAGAGCCTGTGTACTTTAATTGGGGTTGGTTAAGTGTTATATATATATATAAGTTATGCTTTTTATTATTTCTTTATTTCTTTCTTTCGTGCTTTCTTTCTTTCTTTCTATCTATCTTTCTTTCTTTCTTTCTTTCTTTCTTTCTTTCTTTCTTTCTTTCTTTCTTTCCTTCTTCCCCTTCCCCTTCCCCTTCCCATTCCCATTCCTCTTCTTCCCCTTCCTCTTCTTCTTCTTCTTCTTCTTCTTCTTCTTCTTCTTCTTCTTCTTCTTCTTC